TGTCAGCCATCTTGGAACGACTCCCAAGTCAGTGTTTTAAAGTGATGTGAAATAATTCCCCACTCTGTAGTTAAGTCATTAACTTTTATTTTTAAATATATTTTATTTATTTTTTTACAGAGAGTAAAGGAGAGGAAGGGAGAGAGAAACATCAATGACGAGAGAGAATCATTGATTGGCTGCCTCATGCATGTCTCCTACTGGGGACTGAGCTTGTTTGGAGGTGCTAGCAGGGAAGCGCAGCTACTTGTATACCCTTGACCGAAGACCGGTCCTCTTGGGGGAAAGTCATCCTCTTCGACCGAGCCCGCAGCTTCGGGGGAACACACATGGATCAGTGAGGGAGGAGGGGGACACCCGCCTCGCCAGCCAGATCAGCCGAATTAACCCTGGCAATCAATGGGGTGACAGATGTCACAGTCAGATTGCCCTCACATCCTCCTACTGGGGATTGAGCCCACAACCCAGGCATATGCCCTTGACTGGACTCAAACCTGGGACCTCTCAGTTTGCAGGCCAATGCTCTGTCCATTGAGCCAAACTGACTAGGGCAAATCACTAACTTAAAAAAAACAACCAAACTTTTATTGTTGAAAATATTACATATACCCCCCCCCACCATCCATTCCCTCCAGCCACCTCTACCCCCTACCCCAAGCCCCCATCATCCCACAGTCTGCACCAATGGTCCATGGGTTATGCATATTTTAGTCTTTGGTTGATTACTTCCCACCCACCTTCCCCCGCCTTCCTTCAGTTCCACGCTTTCATATCTCTGGATCCACTCAGTTCATCAGTTTATTTGTTAATTAGATTCCACATATTAGTGATATCATATGACAATTATCTTTCTCTGTCTTTAAGTTGCTAACTTGATATTCATTTAAATTCATTTGTTTCATATGGCTTAATTTTTAGAGATTTTTTCCAATTTGATTTAATTATTTATTATTCTGTCTAATAAAGAGGGAATATGAGAATTGACCCTCATGCCATTACAAAGATGGCAGCATCCAGAGCCAATAAGGAGAGAATTGACTTCCACACCCTGAAAGATGCTAATTGACTTCCACACCCTGAAAGATGACGGCACCCACAGCCACAAGATGGTGGCACCCAGTACCCTCAACCCCGCCAAGTTGGCAGGTGTGCAGCAAGGTCGGGCCTGCCCCTGCCATGTGCCTGCCTCCTGAATCCCCCAGACCCCACAGCCCCCCCCCCCCCCCAGCTGCCCAGGGGCGTCCAAGGCTCAGGTAACTAGGACTGGCCGATGCTTGAGCTGCCGGCAGTGACAGCAGCAGAGGTGTGATGGGGCATCGCCTTCCCCTAATTGCCACATCGCCTCCCAGACTGTGAGAGGAGGCACCGGGCCTCTAGTCTATAATAATAAAAGCGTAATATGCAAATTAGACTGGACAGCCGAACATCCTTCCGGATGAAGCTGGGCTGTGAGAGCCGAGGCAGCTGCCCAGGCTGTGAGGGCCAAGCCCCTTGCACGAATTTCATTCATTGGGCCTCTAGTAATTTTACAATACAGTTACATGTTTTTTATAGTAAAACTAGAGGCCTGATGCACAAAATTTGTGCCCGGGGGGGGAGGTTGGGGGGGGTCCCCTCAGCCCAGCCTGTACCCTCTCCAATTCAGGACCTCCCCGAGGGATGTCCGACTGCCGGTTTAGGCACAATCCTATGGACATCCCTCTCACAATCTGGGACCACTGGCTCCTAACTGCTTACCTGCCTGCCTGCCTGATCATCCCTAACTGCCCCCCCCCGCCAGCCTTATTACCCCTAACCACCTCTGCCTGCCTGCCTGCCTGATGGCCCCTAATTGCTCCCCCCACCCCCCGCTGGTCTGGTCACCCCTAATTGACCCCCTCCCCCCTGCCAGCCTGGTTGTCCCTTAATGCCCCCCTACCGACCTGCCTGCCTCCAACTGTGCCCCTCTGCTGGCCTGGTTGCCCCTAATTGCCCCCCTTGCTGGCCTGGTTGCCCCTCACTGCCCCCACCCCTCCACCAACCTAATTGTCCCTAACTGCCCCCTTGACAGCCTGATTGCCCCCAACTGCACTCCCCCTCCCGCCAGCCTGGTGGCCTCTTATTGCTCCCCCTGCTGGCCTGGTTGTCCCATGCAGCCTGCTGTTCAATCATTTGGTCATCCCTCACTAACCCCCTGCTGGCCTGGTTACCCCACGCAGCCTGCTTTTTCAGTCCTTTGGTCGTCCCTCACTAACCCCTTGCCAGCCTGGTTGTAGGCAGCCATTTTGTGAGGGTGTGAGGATCAATTTGCATACTATTATATAGGATTTTTTGAAAAGCTTACACTTGATCTACTTTCCACATTTTTAAAAAATCTGAATGAGGACTTTTATTTTTTGTTCATCAGATATATTTGCATTGGCTTCTAGAAAAACTGCTGGCTGGGTGGCTCAGATGGTTGGAATGTCATCCCATACACTAAAAAGGTTTCAAGTTAGATTCCCTGTCAGGGCACGTACCTAGACTGTAGGTTCAATCCCTAGTTGGGGCATGTACAGGAAGGTAATCCATCAATGTTTCTTTCACACATCAATGTTTCTTTCCAATCACTTGGAGGAGAGATACAGCAACAGGGTGGAAATATTAAGAAACCAACTTCTGTCTAGCTATCTCTGGAGAAAAAGGAGCACAATGATCTGGAAAAGCAGAGCTTGATTCTGATGTGCTGAAAATCATTCTGCTAATCTAGTTTTAAAAATTACTGAGTAATCACTAATGAGTTAGGATGAGAAAAGTAAATACATAAGTTAGTAGGATGGTTGTCTATTATCAAGTATTATGGACTATACACAATTGTGTGTGCTATACTTTTAAACAATTGGCAGCACAGTAAGTTTACACCAGCATCACTACAAACATGAGTAATGTAGTATGCTAGAATGTTACAATGGTTACATTACTGGGTGACAGGAATTTTTCAGCTTCATTATGTATGGGACTTCTGTCTTATATGAGTTTGTCACTGAAATGTTATGTGGCACATGACTATTTCCATTAACTTACAATAAACTTAGATTTCAGTAGCTACAATAGTATTATACCCCTTAGTTGGCAGTTTCAAAGGAAATAGGCTATTGATACTAAAACCATCAAAACAAAACAAAATAAAATTTTATCACCACTGGGTATTTTACCAGAACAAGTAACATGATAGCACAAGACACTTTGTTATCCTGGATCCTTAGCCTTTTGGTCAGTTGGACTAGCAGGAAAACTCTATTGTAGAAGAAACCATTTGTCCAAAACTGTCTCTCTTACCATGTTGGTGCTGATGCCTACAATTGGTACTATGAGTTTTATTCTTTGAAGTGATTGACCCATATTAAAGTAAGAATATCTTTGGAGAGCTAAAATTCAGATAAATAACACATTAGAGTGAATAATTTTTTTTTTTTTTTTTTTTTTGGTAAGAGAACATTGGGTAAATCAGAGATAGAAAAAGTAATTTCTAGAATAAATGGGCTTAGGGAACAAGTTATAGAGGTAAAGAGCCCTTGGAGTTTGGGAGCGAGAAACCTACTGGTAACATGGGGGAGAGGTGTAGGAAGGAGTGGAAAGGGAAAGGCAAGGGCATGCTCCTGGGAGGGAGAGCCCATAGTGAATATATTTATGAAGATTTTCCATTGTCACATTCAGCTGAAAATAAGTTTGGAAAAAAGAACTAGGTAGAGCATATGGGAAAACTGCTTGGAAAACAGACTTCTTTCACAAACCCAGACAGAGAAAGCATGATAGCACTAGACACATGCCAAGTAGGGGGTATGAAAATAAGCTTGGAAGACCTGATGATGCATTTGGACACCCACCATTTTATTAGTTGTGTGAGACTCAGCAGCCAATTAGACATTGGCTGTGTATTAGCAAATGTCAATTGTAAAAAGTACTAGCATTTTAAGTAACAGAATTTTTAAGAGTAAAAATTTAAGAATAGCATGGATATTATTTAATTATAATATTTGATATATTTTATAACTTATGTTTTATAATATATGAAGATAATTTGAAATAAAGTCACTTTGTAATATATGTATATATCAGTCAACATTTGCCCTTTCTGCTCAACGTACTAAATAAGTACGTAAATATTTTCAGACACCCAAATAGAAAACACAAGTCTGAACTCATTTAAGACAGGGAATACTTTATTCAAACCCATCAAAGAAATTGACAATTTGAATCTGTAACAAAGCATTGTTTTAATGCATAGGCCAGTAATTGTATATGAGAGTATACACTGCTCTACATACAAATGAACTGATCAGACCAGAACTTTTCAATATTCAAAACAGAATAAGTTTCCCTGTAAAAGCAGCACCATTGTGACATTTTAAATTTAGTATTCCTCTCCTTCTTCCTCACCCTCTCCTTCAACAGAATCCACACCAACTTCCTCATAATCCTTCTCCAGGGCAGCCATGTCCTCACGGGCTTCAGAAAACTCTCCTTCCTCCATGCCCTCACCCACATACCAGTGGACAAAGGCACGCTTGGCATACATCAGGTCAAACTTGTGGTCCAGGCGGGCCCAGGCCTCAGCAATAGCTGTGGTGTTGCTTAGCATGCACACAGCTCGCTGCACTTTGGCCAGGTCTCCACCAGGGACCACAGTGGGGGGCTGGTAATTAATGCCAACTTTGAAGCCAGTGGGGCACCAGTCCACAAACTGGATGGTACGCTTGGTCTTGATGGTGGCAATGGCAGCATTGACATCTTTGGGGACCACATCACCACGGTACAAAAGGCAGCAAGCCATGTATTTACCATGGCGAGGGTCACATTTCACCATCTGGTTGGCTGGCTCAAAGCATGCATTGGTGATTTCTGCTACAGAAAGCTGTTCATGGTAGGCTTTCTCAGCAGAGATGACAGGGGCATATGTGGCCAGTGGGAAGTGGATGCGGGGATAGGGTACCAGGTTGGTCTGGAATTCAGTCAGATCAACATTCAGGGCCCCATCAAACCTGAGGGATGCAGTGATGGAGGACACAATTTGACCTATCAGCCTATTCAAGTTAGTGTAGGTTGGACGCTCAATATCGAGGTTTCTACGACAGATGTCATAGATGGCCTCGTTGTCAACCATGAAGGCACAATCAGAGTGCTCCAGGGTGGTGTGGGTGGTGAGGATGGAGTTGTAGGGCTCAACTACAGCTGTGGAGACCTGGGGGGCTGGGTAAATGGAGAATTCCAGCTTGGACTTCTTGCCATAATCGACAGAGAGCCGTTCCATCAGCAGGGAGGTGAACCCAGAACCAGTGCCCCCACCAAAGCTGTGGAAAACCAAGAAGCCCTGAAGGCCCGTGCACTGGTCAGCCTGTCAGGAAAGAACAGAAAAAACATAGTTATTGCTTTTTGTGATGTATTTTCACTTTTCATACATTCCAATCATCTAAATCTTATTTGGACAGGAAACACTTTTTAAAAAATGTAGGCATTTCTGGAATAATTCAGCATTTATTAATTAAAAATATTTCTTCATTAAAATTTTTGAAATGATTTCAAATAATTCATGTTTTAACAAACAATAAAGAAATAATTCATCCCCACTCTATTACATTTCAATTCTGTGTTTAAAAAAAAAAAAAAGAGCATACTTTAAATGTCTACTTTAGACTCATTAATTTCTTTAATCTTGAAAAAAACATACCAGTTTCCGAATTCGGTCCAGGACGAGGTCAATGATCTCCTTGCCAATGGTGTAGTGTCCACGGGCATAGTTATTGGCAGCATCTTCCTTGCCTGTGATCAGCTGCTCAGGGTGGAAGAGCTGGCGGTAGGTACCAGTGCGAACTTCATCTGCAAAAGGGAACCAAAGCAGCCACCCATCACTAACTACCTGTACAAGCCGGCTCAACCCCAAGGCCTCAACGGAGCCCCCTGGACACATCTTGTGTCCCAGACCCTAGGGCGTGTGTGTGTCTTACTCGGGTTACTGAGGTCAACTCACCAATGACTGTGGGTTCCAGGTCTACAAACACTGCCCTGGGCACATGCTTGCCAGCGCCTGTCTCACTGAAGAAGGTGTTGAAGGAGTCATCTCCCCCGCCAATGGTCTTGTCACTTGGCATCTGGCCATCGGGCTGGATGCCGTGTTCCAGGCAGTAGAGCTCCCAGCATGCATTGCCAATCTGGACACCAGCCTGGCCAACATGGATGGAGATGCACTCACGCTGTTAAAAACAAACAAGAAAAATTGTAATATTAGGTTGTGGTAGCATTTTGAATTTTCAGTAAATTTAAAATAATATTCCAATAGCATACAGGTTGTCTTCAAATTTATCAGAGATCATACCCCTAACATGATAAAAATGATTTAAACAAAGCACCTGCTACAATACTGCATATGGATGTGGCCTGAATAATAATGTTGCACTCTTTAGCACGTGGTGCAAGTCCATTGTTCTCACAGGCATGCTTAAATAGATTGTCCATATTTAAAAAATACTCAAAGCACAGATTTTATAAAATGAAGTTAAACTAAATCATTAATTGGAATCAATATTGCTACTGCCTTCCCCTTTAAATAAAGATAGAAGTTTCTTCTCAATATGATTTAGTAATTCAACATAGACATCTGCACTGCAGCTGAGGCTGGAAGCCACACCCTTCTGCAGGCTATCTGCAGAATCCATCTGTACCAGGGGGTTGGAAGCTCAACAAGGGCTGACTCCTGCATTGCTGAATTTGTGGTGCCTGGTGCTAGCCTGTACTGTCTGCTACATTATTTAACAGAGCAAGCTCTATTTCCAGAAACTGCCTACATGATCTCATTGTGCCATTCTGCCAGTTTTCCTCCTCTGAGCCAGGCTAGGACCATATGCCTAAATTGAAATGAATTAATGAAGATGCATTCGAACAAAAGACAGCTGGACACAGTATAATTCTTCTTTGTCTGCAGCAATTTCATTATTTTTTTTAAAAGAAGTATCTCCAGAATTTTCTCCACTGTAAAAAAACTGAAAAATTATGAGTACCATATCTTTATTTTCTATCTTTTTATGAGTATCTTTAAAACAACAGTTCCTAAATTAGAAACAAATATCACATGAGAAGCTACCAAACAAAGAACCCAGTGAAAGAATAATAAAATATATATTTAAAAACCAAAATAGTACCTATTTTCACAGATTTTTCTACCCAACATAGGATGTTCATATTAATCACATTCAATAGATATTTTCTGCTCTATGATCTTTATGACTGCAACTTCTATTGTCTATCCATTGTCTCTTCACTGACATATTGGGGGGAGGGGCAGGGAAGGGCGTTTCCCAGGGTCCTGAACATTGGGGTCCTCTGGCTCACACAGTAGTCTTTTTCATTGAACAGGCAGCTAAGCCCCCGTCTCTCTCCCTCTTCCTCCCCCCTCCCCCCTCTCTCAGTCAGGGTGGGGTAGCCGAGGACCAGACTTTAAGGGGCTTGTCAAGTAAATTGTGAATTTGCTCCTCAAGTAAAACTATTTCATCTAAAGTTTAGCAGTGAATGAAGAACCTTTTAACGCCTACAATTCTGCAATGATGAAAGACTTTTACTCAGTCTTCTCTTGACAGAAGAGCTTTAGCAAGAGTGAACCCCGCCCAGTGGCTCGGAGGCCAGAGAAGCCAGAAACAAACAACGCCCCTGCGCCGCCTTGACGCCGGCACCAACAGAAACCAACCACTTTCCCCCATTAATATACGGGTATCTTTCTAAAATGCCGACTAGCCAGCGAGGGAACTTCTTTTTTACTAACCCAAGGCTCCGCTCGGTTCCAGTCCTCTGCCCCCAACTCCTCCCGGATACACCCACCGACCCCTGGTCTTTTGGGGCGACTCCTCTCCGTCCCTCGGGAAACGCGCGAGGAAGAAAAGAGCCTCCCGGAGCCACACGAATACAGTGTTCCTTGTGGGGTGGGGGCCAAACAGGAGACGCCACGATCGTCTTTCCCTGCCCGACCCTTTCATCGCCAACAGATGGGCTGCTTGTGGCTTGGAAAGGCTCGCCTTTGTTCTTTCCCCGCGGCTCCGCGGCGCCCTGGGCGCAGTTCTCGCCGGCTGGTGCACCCGCACTGCGGCGGCGCCGCTCCGGGATTTGGGGTAGACCAAGGTTAACCTTGCCAACAAAGCGCAAGGCTGCCCTTACCAAAGAAGTTGTAAAGGGAATAGGGCTTCAGATTTTCCAACAGACCCTGGAAGACTGACCCCACCCAATGGCCACAAAGAGCCAGGGAAAACAAATTCTTACCATGGTTGCTGCTTGGAGGCTGCCGAGCGGATGGCGGAGAGGAGGAGGAGAGGTTGTTGCTTCTTACAGCGCGACTCTTAGGCGGTCGATGTAAGAGAACCTGCGGCACATGGGCGGATGCAGCTCCCTATATACAACTCAGTCACCATGGGGATGGGCTGGGGCCTTTTCCTGTTGGTCCAGACCCCTCAATCTGCCCGGAGAAGCCACGACAGGAGAGTTGTGATTGGTGCAAACGACATGGGATGAGGTAATTTCTCCCCCACCCCCTTTTCCCCCAGCATCCATAGACTGTTTGCATCCTTTCAGACAAAGAGACCGAGAAAAAACAGTCGAGCATCCATTGTGGGGTGGGGCTGGGAAGGGGAGTGCAAAAAGGAAGAAAGAGAACTGGGGTTGGATGATTTTATGTTGCTTCAACCTCGAACTACAGTTAAAACCACCAATGTAAGGTTTTTTTCCCTCCAACAATCGCAGAATTTGTGTTGTGATAAAATATTTAATGGAAAATTACTCCCAGTTCCTCCGTCAAAGTATGCTGAACTCGACCATATTCGGTGAGGATTCAATATCTCTAATTGCTTTAAAATAAAGTAGGAGAGACGACAGGAATGACGCTTAAAATGGCTTGGGTAAATGTGATTTTTAAAGGTTTAATAATAGAGCCATTCAAAATGGTTTCTCTGGTTCCAATAATTTATTTTCAGACCTTCTTTTGCACCCCTCCCCGAAAGAGCTAAACAAAAATGGAAGATGGAAAGAATAACCATACTAAATATGGAAACACACAAGTGGTTCTAACATGGCAATAATTAAAATCTAATGAACTAAAGAGTTTACTTCAAATATTCCTTTACCAGAAGTCTATGCAATATGAATCATATTTTGTGATAAAGAATTGAGAAAATACAAGGAAAAGGAATTGAGTTGAGAATTGAATTAACCTGTGCATGCAGTTAAATTCTACATTGTTCTGATTTTTGGAATGAGAAAAATAACTGAAACATCAAATTAAAAAGGAGAACTGTACATTGTAAAAGGAAGACCATTTTGTAATGTTGCCTCCATCTACAGACAGCTGTGTGATGTTAGCTCAATAACTGCATTTCCTTTTTTCTGGATCTTATATGAATTCAGTAAAACTCCTCTGAGAGGCAACTGTGGGAATTGTAGCCAGCCTCACACCGCTGCTATTCAACTAGAGACTGATGGTTGCTCAATTGCCTCTCGGGACAAAAAGGCCTTGCTTTCACCCGTTAGGAAATGGATTGCAGTAACATTCTTTTGCTACTTGGAAAGGCTCCATTATCAACAAGGATAGGCTATGCAGAATAAGACGGGACTGAGCTCTCCTGACACGGCTAATTAAATCTCAGAGGTAAAGAGGTTTGTAATGGCCACAAAGTTGAAAATTTGTGTTTTCCCTTTGGTTTTCAGCGACATATTTTTAGGGTCTGCAGCACCATTTACAATGCCCTGCGGAGCTCATTCATTCCTGCTGGGTTGGCAGGCAGAGCTGGGCGTGAGAGGGAAGGGCTTGAAGACAGCTGCTGCAGGTTGTGCTGTTACAATGGTGGCCATGTAATTTTCTAGCCTGATATCCAGAGCTCTGCTTTACTTATTCAGATTTGCTTCAGTAGTCTTCCCTGGAAAGGGAAGGCGAGGGATGGGAGGACCCAACGTATAAATTACTTTATCTACTTCTAGCGTAATTCATAGGGAAAGTAATATTTAACATAATCTTATCTTTTTTTTTAGCAAATAGATGTATCAGTAAAGAGACAAGAAAATTAAGAACTTGAATGCTTCTTTCTAAGCTCAGAAGTACATTTTAGAAAAATACGAATTAAATGTCATGGGCAAGTTTAAAGATTAATTAAGTAGCTCATTAAAAATATTCTTTCAAAATTTTAATAATGAAATAAATTAAATACTGTTGGATCATGATAAAGTGTACAAACCTCCTTTAGGGAATGAAAGGCACAGTCTTGAATTTTATTTTTTTTACAATATAAAAAATGTCATTGCCCAATAGTCTCAATTCTTGATGCAATTTATGCTGAGGATTAAATAAAAGAGAGGAGGGTTCTTGCAATTGATTCTTTGTAATTCTATCTCAGAGCCATTCTGTTCTTTATGTAAATGAGGATTTTTTTTCTCCCTCTGGGCATAAGTAACAATAAGATCTAGGTCAGAAATAGATTATATGAGCACTGATAATCTTAAATATATAAATGGGACAGTAGGGGAAATAATTTATCTATTTTTGTTACTCATTTGACTTAATAGCATGCAAGCTATGGGAGGCAAAAAAAATATTTTTTTTACTAGTTTACTTCTTTACTCATTTACATAAAATATTCCACTAATGGATTCATTCTTGTTCACAGTAAGATTAGCATAAAACAATTTTTCCCTTTCATAATATTGTGGAATTTAAATTATTTCTTTGCGATCCTGGCCACTGTGGTTCCATTGATTGGGAGGTATGGCATACACCAAAAGGTCTCGAGTTCCACACTGGTCTGGCACATGACTAAGATGCAGTTTCGATCCCCATTGGGGTGCATGCAGGAGGCAACAAAGTTTTTTCCTCTCACATCATTGTTTTTCTTTCTCTCTTCCCTTCTCTCTGAAACATATCCTTGGATAAGGATTAAAAATAAGTAAATTATTCATTTGTGTGTCTATACCTCTTCTCCATTAAAATGTAAAGGTATTTAATTAATTATTTTACTTTTTTATGCAATAAGAATGTGCTGAGTGTCTATAGTAAGCCCTGGACCATTCTAAATACTATGAGAATTCAGAGATAGTAGCATGGTCTCCTTTCACTAGAATCTTCCAATCTAATTGAAGAAATAAAACAAGTACATGTATCTAGGCTTGAGAATGGTATGTGTTTGTGTGTGTATGGGAAAGGGTCTTGTAGACTCTATTGCATGTATCTAACTTATGTAGGAAACAAGAGTTGTCTAACACTTTCCCCCCCTATTTCTTCACCTCATACTTATCCCTAAATTCATTACCATCTGGATTCTGCTTCTACCACTCTGTAAAACCAAATGCCCTCCATGTTTGTTGCTAAATTCATTTGACACTTTTTAGTTCCTGTTGACCTGTGAAAGTGTTGTTACAGTTGACTATTATCTCTTTCTTGAGACACTTTCTTCCCTTGGCTTAAAAAACTCTACATTATCTGGGTTTCCCTCCTACATTTTTTGTGGTGTTTTCTTTTTTCTCATTCTCTGCTGGTTCTTCCTCCTCTCCTAATCTTTAAATGTTGAAGTTCCTCAAGGTTCAGTCCTAGACCTTGTGCTCATTTTATTCTATGTGTTTCATACACTCAGGATGGTATGAGCTTTTATTCCTAAGGCTGAATATCCTCTCTATATGCTAACAACATCTCTTGACATCTCTTCTTAGATTCAGATCCTATAGTAAACTTTCAGTATCTAGCTGGTTTTCTCAAAGGAATCCCAAATTGAACTAGTTATTTTCACATAAATATGTACCTCCTACACCCGATTTCTCACATCAGAAATGAGAATTACTCTTGACATCTCCTCTTTCTTTTTTGACCACCATGGAGTCAGTCACTAAGTCCTGTTAAATCTACCTTCTAGCCCTGGCTGGTGTGGTTCAGTTGGTTGAGCATCGTCCAGTGATTGGAAGGTCACCAATTGGGTTGGGGCATGTGCCTAGGTTGTAGGCTTGATCCCTGGTCGGGAAGTAGCCAATCGGTGTTCCTCTCTCACATCCAGGTTTCTCTCTCTCTCTTCCTGTATTTCTAGAGTCAGTAAAGATATATATTTTTAAAAATATCACTATCCCAGAGAGCTCCCCCTTGTTCTGCTACTCACAATCTGCTCTCAAAGATAATCCTCACTAAATTCTAGCACAATAGATTATTTTGCCTGTTTTTGAACTTTATATAAATGGAATGTAGTCTTTTATATATGGCTTCTTTCATTTAATGTTGTTTGTGAAGTTTATTCATAGCATTAAATGTAATTTGAAATTGTCCTCATTGCTTTATAGTACCCCATTGTATAAATGTACTACAATTTATCCATTTCCCAAATGTTAATGGATATTTGCACTATTTCCAGCATTCTTGTACATGTGTTTGAGTGAATATATTTACAAATTTCTATTGTATGTATATACTTAGAAGTGAAATTGTGGGGTAAATGGGTATGCATGTGTTTAGCTCTAATAGAAAAACTGTAAGTTTGTCCAGAGTGGTTGTAGTTATGTACATTTCCACTAGCTGTGTAAGATTTTGGTTTCTCCTTGTCCTCCTTCATTACAGTCATTCAGGAGAGTTTATAGTAATATTTATACATTGTGACTTTAATTTTTAAAAAATATATATTTTATTGATTTTTCACAGAGAGGAAGAGAGAGATAGTTAGAAACATCGATGAGAGAGAATCATCGATCAGCTGCTTCTTGCACACCCCCTTCTGGGGATGTGCCCGCAACCAAGGTATATGCCCTTGCCGGGAATAGAACCTGGGACCTTTCAGTCCACAGGCCAACACTCTATCCACTGAGCCAAACTGGTTCCAGCGTGACTTTAATTTGTTAACTAATGAAGTTGACATCCTTCGCTTTATTCATTGTCTTTTTGGATATCCTCTTTGGTAAAATGCCTATTTAAATCTTTTTTTATATTTTCTCATGGGTTGTCTATATTTATCTTAGGGATTGGTAGGAGTACATTATACATTATGAATAAAAGTGTTTTGTTGGATTTGAAGATTTAAAAAAAAAAGGTATGTTCCCATTCTGTGGCTTGCCTTTTCACTCTCTTAATGGTATCATTTAATGAGCAGGAGTTCTTCAATTTAACATAGCTCAGTTTGCCCTTGTTAGTTTGGCTCAGTGAATAGAGCGTTGGCCTGTGGACTGAAGGGTCCTGGGTTCAATTTTGATCAAGGGCACATGCCTGGGTTGCAGGCTGGAACCCCACTTCCATCAGGGTACTCAGGGCACCT